TGTTTGATCGTGTTTCTGGTCCGATGCTTTTCATTGGATAGGCGCTCTGACGTAATGGATGACTGAAATGTGATTGGCTGCATTTGGGTGATACTCAGCAACATATGCGTACGATCAACACGGTACAAAGGTGCGATACACAAGATGGGTGAACATCTGTGGATACGATGGGTGCGGCCCTGTACAGGGCCGCACCCAATGTAAGCAATTATGTTCGATGTTACCGATTACAATGGTACTTCAATGTACCATTGTAATCGGTAACATCGAACATAATTGCTTACATTACATAGAACATAACATAGTACATATGTCACGTGAGTTGTGTTACGGTGCCGAGGGTGCATGTGGACCTCGGTGTCAAGTTTCTTGACCTCGATAGCTCGGAACGCTGTTAAGTCTTAGACTTGGATTCAAATTTTGACCTCATCCTTGGTATGGTATGGTATGGTTGCGACACCATGAGCCATGGATCGATTGAATGTCGAAAACCTTGAGCGCCATGCCCGCATCTCCTGGTAGAGCTTTGGTGCGACATAAGCCCACCTCTGCTAGGATGTAGAAGCGCAATTAGCGCAGGCACTACACCGGGACGGTCAAAATGCTAGAGATCGAAGTATCAGAGCAGAGCATGCCGCTCGGAGTACTCACCACAGGTAGCGGAATATCACTCGCTCGCATGAGCATTTGGTGATATCCATCGACCAAGTCGATTGCACTGTACTTTGAACATTCAACCATGTTGTTCTGAAGGACATCCTTCCTAAAATCGGCGTGTGTGCCGGAATGGGGGCAGCGATTGAGCTTATTGGAAACGTGTACGATTCGCCACTTGCCGATCGGTTTCCGGACACAAAATGTGGGTGTCAAATGGGAAGACTTACTCTCACGCACTATTCCTGCGTCGGGCTTTGCGCGAAAGAAAGCGTCAATGACGTCCTACTGCTCCTTGGCCAGGGACCATTGGCGTGTTACGCAGTATTTGGCTTCCGAAACCAGGTCGATCTCATGACGCACAGCTCGGTCCGGAGGAGTAGCCGAAGGCGGGGCTTTGGAGACAACGCCTTGAATTTTTTTACAAAAGGATAGTACTGATCTGAAAGATTCTTCAGGATCGATGATCTACTTCTTGCGCTCAGCAGGTCCCCTTGGTGTCCTCCAGGACAGCTTCATCCAGAAGCGTCGACGACTTAATCTCCTCGTTCAGTCTTATAATGACCACCTCGGCGAAATGGCTTGCCTTTAAGGCTCAGCCAAGCTCTGCGAAGGGCATCTCGTCCATCTCAAAACGAGTATCCTCCGCGGGAATAGCTCTGAGGGCGACGTCGCCGTCTTCTTCTCCTGTTATACCATATACAATTGTATATAGCTATGCGCTATCGTCTACTGTCACACGTTGGGTCAGGGTCGACGCCCTGCTTATTGCAGATATCATATGGCTTCGCCGTCTCCTCTCTATAGATGTTTTGCGTCTCATCGAGACCCGTGACATGCAGCGACTGTTCGAAATGTTAGCGGTGCTCAGTGGATTACGTGCCACTACACGTGCATAGCAG